ATATGTAAATATAAATATAAAAGTGAACATTGAAGCCAACACACAGAGGCGACAGGCTGTTTCATGCTGGATGCAATTGTCAGGCTGCCTGATGATTGCGTCTAGCATGAAACAGCCTGTAGCCTCTGAATGTTGACTTCAATGTTCACTTATATATATATATATATATATATTTAAATTTTTGAGCATTATAGTTGGCAGGGAAGCAAGAAATCAGACAGGAGTTCTATAGATGAGAAACACAAGAAAAGAAACTTTCAGAATAGAAGAGACAGTTGTATCTAGCTATTTCAACAGTAATCATGCAGTTGAGGCACTAAGATTATCAAAACAGTTGCCACAAAAATATTTATAGAAAAGACAGAGGGAAGCCATGGGAAAGTAACTGAAGTTGAGATGCCAAGTCAGGATGGTTTATATTACAGACTCTTCTTTGAATTTTGTCAAGAATCTCAAGACATACTGTAGGAGAACTAGATCAGATACAGCATAATTATTCAATGCATGTATGAATGGTAGATTTATAAATGTATATGATGAATTCTGGCAAGAAAAAATTTCTTGGCATGGCATGATATAGTGAACCAACTTTCCTAGCAGTAGATATAGAGATTGATTCAATATAGTCACTCCCCTAGATGAGTCAAGAGTGAAGTGGGAAGAGAATTTCTAACCAAAGTATAATAAAGAGAGGAGGTACTGAGGATTTGCTTTTTGTTCAGCACACTCTCACAGATCTGCTAGTTATCTCTAGACCCAAACTTGTGAACTTTGCTATTCTATCAGCAAATGCTTTTTTGAGGATACACTTGCACTCATTGCAAGTAATGAAAAAGAGATGTCTGTTATAGTTAGAGATGTCACTCTGGTATAACCAGAAGTAGTGATTCTTGTGGCCTATAATGGCTGAACAGGAAGGATAGAACCAAGGAGAACATTGTGGTTTCACTTGATATTTCCATGATGGCACTCAAGCTTTGGTGCAAGCTCTCACAAAGTAAGAGACCCCAGTGACACATTTCCTAACAGTATGATTAAAAATAGCATTCCAAGAAGCATTATGGAGAAAATCATGAAACGAGTCCCAATTAGTGCATTGAAAGGAGTTCTTGACTGCTAAGAGAATGGAAAGAGATATCTGTAGACACTACCAGATTGTCGAAATTGCCAAGAGGACAGAGCACAACATAAATCTGGGGAGGAGGTAACGAAGAGATCAAATAGACAAGGGGGTCCATCATAATTACTGGTAACACACGGTGAAGTTTACTATCTGAATAAGAGATCAAGTAACTGAAAAGTTAAAAGTTTGGATGTCAGTGAAGTCAGCTTTACACACACACATACAGAACTTATATATATATATATATATATATATATATATGTGTGCGTGTGAAAATATATATAGAAAATAGGAAAGAACTTGTTACGTAAATAATCCAAAGTTCTTTAGTATTTTTGTTATTATTTTTTAAAAACAGTGCTCGATACAAAAGTAGAGCCTAAACATAATTATTTATTTAAAAATATGATTCCTCCACTACATAAGAGTTCTCATATATTGAAGTTTTCAGCTCATTTTTGAAACATGAGAACTCTTATGTAGCAGAGTAATCATATTTTTAAATACACGATTATATATAGATATATATATATGTGTGTGTGTGTGTGAAGAAGGTGCTGAAAAGTTATTGGCCAAACCATGAAGAGATTATCCCCACCAATATAACCAAAAAAGAAAAAAATAATAATTGTTCATTTGTTGGGATGAGAACTTTTAAATACCCATTTGATTATAAAATTCAAATCTGATATATATATATATATATATATATATATATATATATATATATATATATATATACATACACATTTAGTGAGCCAGACAAACCTACCTGTTTTTACCTAAACGGATTGTCAGGGAAAGTTTGGCAAACTTTCCTTGACGATCCGCTTAGGTGAAACCTAGGTAGGTTTGTCTGGCTCACTAGGTGTATCTAGGTCTGCTCTACGGTTGTATTGAGCTCTTTTGTTAGTTAGTTGTTACTCGTATCAGGTTTTTTCTTTGGGCTTCAGACCTGCATCTGTCTGCGATTTTTTGTCGGCAGAAGTTCATGTTTGTAGCTCTTTCCTTTTAAAACCTTTTTTTTCCTCGAGATTGATTTGATTAGCAAATCAAAAATTCAAGGGTTTTTCGAAACGAGTCTAGTTATCTATATTTATATATATATATATATATATATATACACAGGGTGTGATGGATAAATTGTCATCTCAATTACGCAAAAACAAAAATAACACTGGCATCTTATTTCAACAGATATATATTATATACTTACCAAAATTACACAAAAATATCTTGAAATACCAAAGAGTAAATTTATTCAATAAAATCGCCATTGGCTTCAACCATGGCTTCCAGATGATTTCAGAATCTTCTACACAGTCTCCTTGTTTAAGTTGGTGAATGATGCCATAATCCTTTCCTTCAGTTCACCTTTGGTGCTACAAAGAGTTTTGTTGGTCCCTCGCTCGACTGCACCCCACACATAATAATCAAGAGGATTGCAGTTTGGACAGTTAGGTGGCCATATGTAAGGGGTTATAAAAATTGTCTGACAGCCATGACTAGTTTCTCCTGCTGGTGGGGCATGGTGCAGAATCCTTTTGCCAGAAAGAGAGTCTTTCTGCAATCACCCTCTTGATCCATGGCAGCACTACCTCCTCAAAGCACTTAATGTTGGCCACTGTGTTAAGTCTGATGACCTTATGCACAAATTCTGGAGTTCTTTTCTTATCAGAAGAATCAGAGTGAGTTTTCCAAGTTGCCATACATTCGTAATCACCATTAGACTCATCCAACTCTTTCCCAATCCTCTGCACTTTCCTCAGATTGACACCTAAACACTATCAAATGTTTGTATTGGTGCTTTCAGAGTGAATGCCAAACAGTACAGTATACTGCTTCCAAATTTCTGGTGGAATGAATTGCATCACAGTACTCTTTCACTCACAGACGGTGCCCAACTGACCCTACTAAAATGTGCAGTTGACAAAGTCAAAAACAAAGTGCGTGCACAAAATTAAAAATATAAAATGGCAACAATTAACCCATCGCACCCTATATATATATATATATATATATATATATATATATATATATATATATACACACACACACACACATATATATATGTGTGTGTGTATTTATGTAGCAAATGTTATTAAAGACAGTAGACATGTCTGTTGTCTTTAATAATATATAAATGACGGTTTCGTATAGGATGCAGGTTCGAATCCTGTCAAAGGACGAATATTTTCTATGAAAATTTCTCAGACATTCAGGCCGGTAAATGTTATTTAATACTGTTTATTATAAACAGAGCATTTACTTAAATACTTGTATCTATAAAAAGAATGTTAAACATAAAAATGTCTTTAATAAATTGTCGGACTTTGTCCAATCCTTAATATATATATATATATAAAATAAGATAAAAAATATCATTTTAAGGTATATTATATTTATGAGTTAAATTGCTCAATATCAGGGATAGAGTATGTAAATATAAATAAAACACTAAATATAAACACCAAACACATGGCTTGACAATTGTGTTTAAGCATGAAACTGTCATGCTGGGTGTTGACCTCAATATCCACTTTTATTACACACACACATACATACATCGCAACAAATATTTATAAACAAAAGCTGAAATGTCATTAGTTTTTCCAAAATTTTAAATCTGAGGGCACTCATGAATGTATTTCAGGTTAAGTGAAAGTCAAGGCAAATTATGGAAGAGCTATTTAATGTTGAATAAATCAAAGTTAGTATACGTTTTTATTGAATTTCTTTTTTTGGAATTTAATCATTATTTATATCATTTTAGTTTGAGAAATTAACATATGTATTATATATTTCAAATAATTTAACAGTTTTCCTTTAATTTCTTAAATTTTTTATTGTCATGAATATTGGGTTCAGAAGGGAGTATTTCTTTTAGAAAAGGAGATATTTTTTTTTTAAACTCAGGGTGCAGACTTATATTTTGGTAAGATTTGAGAGCAGCACTCTGAAGAATTATATATATATATATATATATATATATATATATATATATATATA